TTAAACATTTGGTTACTGCTAGAAAATGAGGAGCTGATTTTTGAAATTAGTGTCTTGAGCACTTTGGCATCATTCCTTTTCATATATTATTTGTCTCAAAACTGTTCAAAACTGACCTTAGATGGAGCAGGTTTTCACCCCAATCTGACATTTAAAGCAATAGTTCACCCAGAAATGAAACATTTACTCACCCTCAGGCTATCCAAGGTGTAGATGAGTTTGTTTCTTGATCAAAACAGATTTTTCAGCATTATAGAAATTTAGCATTCCATCACTTGCTCACCAATGGATCCTCTGCAGTGAATGGGTGCCGTCAGAATGAGAGTCCAAACAGCTGATAAAATTATCACAATAATCCACAAGTGATCCACACGACTCCAGTCCATCTGTTAACGTATTGTGAAGGGAAAAGCTGTGTGTTTGTGAGAAACAAATCCACCATTAAGGCATTTTAACTTTAAACCATTGCTTCTGGCCTAAATACAACTTATGCTAAATTTCACCTAATCTGTTCCCAGGAAGAAACAAACTCATCTACATCTTGAATGGCCTTTGGGTGATCAATTTTTTTTGTGAACTATTCCTTTGAGAAAAGTGCATTCTAAGAACACAGTTCTACAATTCAAAATCTGCCTTTATAGTACTGCGCCTGAATGTAGTGAAATATCTCAATCATTTCTCATTTTCAAGGATATTGAAAATCTTTTGCTTACGTAAAGTAAAACATTTCAGAACAACAATGACTTCAGTAGTATCTTTTTGTGGCTGTTTGCACGATTTCACCAACAGGTGGTGTTAAGATGCTTAAGTTTTATGCAAATCATTTGCCTTTGAAAGATACATAACTTTGCCAAGGCTACAATATGATACAGAATTGTGTGTTAAACAACGTTATCAAAAGTAGGAAGAAATTCCACCATTAGCACTCGAAACTCTAAATATTGAAATTAAAAAGCTATTTCACAACATATAAGATCTAATTATCCAAATATGTCGTCATTTTTTCTCTTTCTGTCTAGTTTTCTGTGGTGTTACCATGTGTATAGTTAATCATTCTTTGATGCTTACGTTTAACAACGTTTGCTACCACTTTTGACACTGACAAGATTAATATGTCAAAATAAATACATTTTGATTGTAAAATCACAGCACCTTATATATAGCATCACAAAATAAACTGACAATTCTTTTGCTGTAATTACCGTCTCACTGTCCTTCTTATTTCAAGACTTATTAAAGACAAAAAAATATTGATCTGAGTTTAAATTATTTTTGTGACACGATACAAGAGGCATGAAACTGTAAACTAGCTCATTTACCTGCGCTTCCTCCTGCACTCATTAGTTACTGTTACTGGGAACTCAGTTGTCTTGATCAGGAAAAAACATATCAAGGTAGCTGTTTTTAGATTTAATTTACCGCAGGTACGTCTGCGCTCGAGCTTCAGTGGGATTACAGTGATGCTGAGCCACTTTTGTTCCTTGCAGGAGATTCAGTCATTTAAAGCAGCTGAAATCGTCAGCAAATTATAGTATTATAGTATTTTCATATGCATACAAAGGCATTTATCCTCGCTGTGACATAGTTTCTTGTTTGTGTATTCTGTGATCTTATTTATACAGTCCAGATGGATTTTAAGTTGTTATAGTTTTGCATCAAGAAACAAATTGTTTTTCTTTTTGTTTTAATTGGTCATTTTCCTTTCAGTTAATCAGAATCAGCTTCTGGCATTGGTGCCAGAAGCGTCAGTACTAAGAAAGATGGCAATTATAAACACAGAATAACATAAATATATAGTTCAGTCATGAACCTCTAGATGGCGCATTCTGACGGGGTGTTAACGTAACTGATGATATTCAGAGAGTTAAACGACTTGGCACAAGCTGATTGGTTCATGCTGCATATGCAGCCAATGAGCTTACTGCCTTGCATTTATATGGCTGGCTAGCATTCACTTGAGATTCCTGCAGCGCGCTTTCAGAGTTTCTCTGAAACCCTTCACCTTCCCCAGCTCCACCTGTATAGATCTGCTACGGGGTTATTTTATATGCTATTTGTGCAGCAGCAGCATGTCTTAAATACTCATGGCACCGTATCGCCATATGCATTGGCAGTAGCAAGTTCCTGTACTTGCTTGCAGCAGCAGCAATAATCTACAACTACAGCAATAACCAACAGCAGCAGCAATTCAGCAGCGGTGTAGCAGATCTGTTCCGCCAAGACCAAATACATTGTCATATCCATCACCATGCTAAAATGTTCAGGGAGTTGTCATGATTGAATTACAGTTAAAAGGGCTGTGAGTTTCGAAGGTAAGTGCATGTTTAGATAGTATAAAAATAAGTAAATATGAATTTACAGAGTTAACATACTATATTTTTTAAACATCACAATGGTGCTCGTGAAAAATATGACCTTTGAGGGAAAAATTATATATAGACTTGTATCTGGATGTTTTGGTTCCCAGCACTTTTTATAATTTTGTGGCATGAAAAACCTATAAAATGTTCAGTTTGGAAATGAAATGAGAGTGTGTAAATAATGCCAGCATTTTCATTTTGGGTGAACTATTCCTTTAAGAGTGTGTTTGATGCATTAGTTATTGACTATGGGCCTACTGACAGTAAATTTGATATTCCAGGGTAAAATGAATGAAAACCACTGACACTGCTTAGTCATTATTGACTTCCTTTTAAATTAAATGCCAAATCTGTTTGCTTATTGTCATGCATATGCTATATTACCTATTGAGTTCAGTCATTTCCAGATCTTCTGACCAAGAGCCATGGGTTCCTCTCAAGAAAAACCAAGTTTACTCTTTATGTAGACATTTATCCTTTTTGTATTCAGCTTGTTAGACCAGGAAGAACCTCAGGAAACTGAGGATTTTCCACATCAGCATCCAATCAGGTTGGGTGAGCTTGTGCGTTATTGGAACCACTCGCCTAATAAACATTTATTGGATCTTTTTCAGGCTGAAATTGGCCCAAAATGAAATTATTTCAATGGAGACTGCATTAAGGAAGAACCAAGGTAACATTGAGAGAATAAATGGCTGCAGAATGTATTTTTGCATCTTATGCGAAACCTCATTCCTGAGGTCACCTGATGGGGCCGGACTCAATGTGAGGCACTGCGGCCAAATCATATTCATGGAAAAGTCATTTTGGTCTGATTAAAATAATCTCTTAAGCTATTTACAAGTAGGCTAAGTTTATGCTCCTGAGGTTGAGCAAAATGCACTTGCTTTGTGATTAGTTGGGAACATTTCTAGAGGAAAGAATTTTGCTAAACGGTAAATTTTTTATTTTAAAATTACAAAATCCATTAAAAAATGAATTCCTTCATATTAATACAGTACATTTTGCCCTGTTTTTACAGATTTTTTTTTACAGTGTAGCAGTGTTTTAATATGAATCTCTGGTGTTCATTTATACTGTAATGTTGTTGTCGTTGCGGTTAAATATGAATCGTTGGCATTTTTGTTTTCTATTCTAGGTTTGTTTTTGACCACTGTCATAGGGTGGGACAAATCCTGAGATAATAATAGATCCGTTTGTGGCTCCTGTGCATAATTACAGGGTTTGATGGGTGTCTCACAGTAAATCTATTTCTACTCGCAATTAATCGTTTGACAGCACTACTTAAAATATAAAAAAGAAAATGAATATTCAGTTTGCTTGAGAATATCTAAATATCTAGAAGTGTTTCCGTCAAAGACTTGAAGTTAAAAGCCTGGAAAACTTTGTCAAATCTAGCAATTAGTTCTTCCTCGCAAGTGTTCATAACTTTTAAACACAACTGTGCAAACATCTTGCATACGTGGACGGTCTGTTGGCGAGCCGCCTGAGACTACCTGTATTACCAGCCTACTCCCTAAAACACTACCATCACCTACTAAATACACTAATAAGAGAGTAAAAAACACTTGGTATATTAAAAACACAAATTTGATATATTAAAGTGTTCTTTTACAGCTTTAAAACAAGCAGAGATAAAGGTATTACTAGGAAAAAAAGATGAAAAAGAAAGAAAAGTGTAGAGTACAATAGTTAATTATGGTCATAAGTAGGGATGTAACGATTACCGGTTTGACGATAAATCATGATAAAATTCCCCACGGTTAGTATTACCATTTCATATTTTAATTATCATTAAAACCGTATTAGATTACTGCGATTTGAACAACTCGCGATAAATAAATACTGTCCAGCATAAAGCACAGTTTTAAGTAACAGTCTCACGTGCGCACAGCACAGCACAGCACAGCAGAGTAGTTTCGTTTTGAGTGAAACTGGGCGGAAAAGCTGGGAGGTTTTAAAAGAGTGCTAAGGGAATTATACAAATGAATATATGAATGAATTAATTATATGAATGTACCTCTGAAGGTTCTGACTGTCTTCAGAAACGATTCGATGGCATTTTGTTTTCATCTTCGCTCCATGTAATTCCTAAAGGAAGTGTTCTTAATCGCAATACAGCTTTGTCCACGGAGGTTACCAGCCCCTCACTGCAGAACAAAGATCCAGGGGGCAGGGTTGGATCCACATGTAGGGGGTGGAGATGGTAGGTTTAGGGGTGGAGATGGGTGGGTTTAGGGATCAGGGGGTGGAGATGGGTAGGTTTAGGTTTATGTAAGATGGGAGGAGTTGGATCTGGATCCAACCTCGCCCCCTGGATCTTGTGTTCTGCAGTGGGGACCATCTCGAGGTTATGGGAAACAGCTCTAATTCAGCTTTTCCATGAACGCCACCTGCTGTCAGCGAGTGGATTTACAGAGACTTATATTTACTTTCAGCCTGTGTGCGGTTTCTGTCTGGCCAAAAATTGACCAAATTTGCATGCCCTGCTGTAAATTTTGACCGGTTGATGGAAAAACAAGCTTATGTGGATTCTACACATTTAAACAATTCAGATAAGTTATTTAGAATTATTTATGGACCAGATAAAATACATATAATCATTTATTAATCAATGATCATTTTGACATTGCTATAATTTTGGTCACTATAATCGTGACAAGAAATTTTCATACCGTTACATCCCTAGATAAGTCATAACCTAACAGAGGTTAAGTAGTCTCCTCCTTGTTTAAGCAGAATGAAGAAAGACATGGAAGTTCTTGAACTCCTCAAAGAAGTGCAGCTCGTCAGAGAAGCTGCTGGAGAAGCCCAGATTTTTGCATGAGGTCTTGATTGTGTGAACCACACAGACAGGGATTGTCTCAAAAAGCTGTTCAGCCAACGGCGTCATTGTGACCTTCTTCTGCTCCGAAATCAGGCTCTGTATCCGGGCTTTATCGACAGGTTCCGGCGAGGCGCTGAAGGAGACCACAACGTTTAGCTTGTCATCTGACGATGGCACCTGAAAGCGACTCTTTCCCGTCAAACCGTGGAAGTCTTTCTTGTTGGTGAACAGGCCGGTGGGGGAGTTAAAGACGCGGACTGACCAGCAAACCCAGTCGTACTTCTTTTTCAGGTGCTCTACCAGCAAGTCAGCCAGTTGCTGATTGCTTTTGTCGCTTTGGTCTCTCACTATGCGTTTGGCGTCCAGCTCGGCCTGCGTCGGAAAGCTGTTGATGCAGTCTTCAATCACGATGTTCATTTTATTCTGCACCACTTTCATCTTCTCGCTCCAATCTTGAAGCAGCTTCTCCTCATCGTCATTGCCTTTCAATGCTGAGTGTCCCAGTAAGGCGATCAAACCGACGCAGAACAACTTTTTGAGGGTAGCGCAAAACTCCTCCACCGCCCTGCGGCTCTTCTGCTCGTAATTCAGAGTGATTTCCAGCACAGACTGTCCTGAGAAGTTATCTCCGGTTACAGCGTTGTAAAGAGTGTGCAGGTTTTTATCACCCCCTGCCCTGTTGAAGTGCTCCAGGAACGTTTTCTTTCTGACCTCTCTGAATTTAGGTTTCGCATTCAGGACGTCCATGAATTTGCGGAATTGGTTGGTCAGGTTCTCCTCCACGGAGAAATAGGTGGCATCTACGCCGCTCTTCTTGATCTCCTGGTTTATCTGCTGGACTTCTTCAGAAACGACTTCCAGGCGATCTCGCACTTTCTGGAACTGCTCCTTCATGTACTCGGCCTCTTTGCTTTCCACGTTATCCAGTGCCAGCTTCACGATCGGAGCTGCGATGGAGAACACGGGGAACAGATCTCCAGCAATGCTGGCCACCACTTCTGCGCCCTGCTCAAACACTTCCATGACTGTTTCGACAACATCCTTCTTCTGTGCAACAAGTTCCTGCAGCTGCTCGGCCATCTTTCAGTTTCAACAGCAAAAATGTCTCTGTTTAAAATGAGATCATTACATAAGAAATTACAAGAAATAATACTTGAAACACCATGATTGTAATTTCAGCATGTTAAAGGGGTCATATGATGCTGCTAAAAAGAACATTATTTTGTGTATTTGGTGTAATGAAATGTGTTTATGCGGTTTAAGGTTCAAAAAACACATTATTTTCCACATACTATACATTATTGTTTCTCCTCTATGCCCCGCCTTTCGTCGATTTTTACAAAGCTCATCGGTCTGAAAAGCGAGGTGTGCTGTGATTGGCCAGCTATCCAGTGCGTTGTGATTGGCCGAATACCTCAAGCGTGTGACGGAAATGTTACGCCCCTTACCATATTGTGATGCCGTGTCCCGGCCGGAGCAACGAGACAAAAACATTAAAACCCATTATAAACGAGGCATTTGTTGCATCCAGTGGGGACATAATTACGGATTATAATGACTTATACTGTCTTTTTACACGTTGCGTTGCATCGCGCCGTGTAAACATAAAAACATGTCTGCATTCGTGATCTGAGAAATTACAAACAACAAGCACTACTCTACACTGCTCAAAACTCAAACGTTAGAATCATCAGTGGCAAATCCTTTAAATTAAAACTTACTTACAGTCTGTGAGTCAGAACAGCCGGCATTGTAGTCTACTCTCCCAGGAAACAGTCCTCCATAAAATGCACTGCACACATCTGAATATTTGGGTTGAACTGTTCTGGAACAGTGTTGTAAATACAACTTAACCACTGATTTCTAGTCGTGTCCTCTTTTGATTTTTTTTTTTACTATTCCTTTAAGGCTCTGATTTACTGAGGCTACTAATTTGCTTGTGCAATCTAACAAGTTGTATAGGGCTTCAAGGCCATATTGCGGGTGATTTACTACGAAATATTCAAAACCACACCCATATTTAAAGGAGGCTTTTACATGTGGTAATACCAAATGTTAGCCAGTTAGTGCATTTCAACATTTTTTATTTTGTAAAAACAGAGAAAACATGTTATTTTCTTAACTGAAAGACTAAGTCAGCTTTAGTAAGCGAGGCCTTTGTCTTCTGAGAGTGGTATACGGAAAGAAACTTACATGTGTCAGTCCTCGTTTCCTCTCAACCTTTGAGTGGTCAGTGTGAGTCAGGGTGGGCTTGCTGTAAAAAGATAAGGGAAATGAGAAATGTGTTATACAAACCATAAAAGCAGCAACAATACACATCAGGTGTATGCACACATGCTAACAGATGCGTGCTCTCACTGACAACCACACCTACACATTCATGAAAGAAATGGGCCAGATGCATTCATTCAATTCAAACATGCACTAAAAGAATGGTCAAATAATGTTTAAACACTTAGTGACACAGTATGCTATACGTAATAATACAGAGGACAGTTGTTTCAGTTGGAAACAGTTCAAATGGATTTCCCCTTTTCCAAATGTTAATGATGCAACACAGAGTAGGTCAATACAAAGCTTTGCTTTTTTGTTAAGAGAACAAAGTAGTGTGTTAGGTCATTTTTAAACTTCCTAGTAGATCATATGCACTACCAGTCCAAAGTTTGGACATACTTGACTGACTAAATGTCTTGTGATCTAAAGGTTTGCGCTTAAATCTAAATAGTTTCTATATACAAATAGTTTTTTCAAAACAAAATAAATTAATAATTTTAATGCCTTTCACATTATTTGAAAATGTGGAAAAAGTGATAAAGTTTGGAGTAGGTGTATGCAAATTTTTGAATGGTAGCGTAATGTTAAATAAACCAAATAAGATCATATTCTCTTTCATAAGATGTATGAATATATGTTTACAATTAGGGCTGCACGATTAATCGCATGCGATATTTAACGCGCATTTATATACAATACAACAGTACGATTATGATAGCATTCACCAAAACTGATGATTTTCCATTAACGTTTCTGGCTGCTGCCAACACAGGTGTGGAAATGATTAGCAGGCTAGTTCAACTAGCTGAGCAAGAACCTTTTTTTCCAAAGCACCTCAGTAACCATCGAAACAAGACAAGGAAAACACCATGTCAGCTTCTCTCCAGACATCCGCATTATGCTCTTTTTCACTGGGCAGCAGCTACAAAATTCCAGCGTTTACAAGATATAATCTCAGTAATGTCGCAGTGTTTACCACTCAACCAAAATAGACCTGTATGCATATTTGAAATGCTGACCATTGTAAAGATCTGTTGGCAGCATGGATCATACAAAATACACTAAGTGGGCCCCTTAACTAATAGCCTCAACTGAATTCATAACACGCATATTAAAAAAGTCAGATCTCCTATATGGGTTACAATCTAACATATGATCAAATTATTTGGTTACAATTTTAGATGTAGTTAATGTAGCTGAAAATATGTTACAAGTAAATATCTGTTTATGAGACAAAATATTCAAAGATTTCAGATAAAACTGGAATAAATTCATGATCTCAGGCCTGTAATTTAACTACATTAACGCTGTCTCAAATACTTGATTCTGATTGGTTAATCGCAGGCCGGCTGTCAAATATAACCGTTGTCCAGGGCAACTGACCGTTCGTCCAGAAAACGTTGTGCCCTTCGCGGTTGTTGCAAATAATTTCAGCTGAATAATATTTCACATGTAATACTTAATGTGTGTGTGTATATATATATATATATATATTGTTATTTCTATGTTTGTTTGTTAAGCAGTCGGGGTATAATACGTGGAACAGCGTAATGTCAGTTCGTAATTTTCGCAAAATAAACGGCTTCAGAGACACGAGACCCCTTTCGCGGTTTATTTTGCGATAACGACCGACTGACTCTACCTGCACCCCCGCTGACGCAAAGGTAGGTTAATCACTCCTTGTTTTTCTCAGGATACAGATTAGTTCATACCAAAATGTCCACTGACACTTAAGAAAAGAAAGGATAGCGAATAAATGTTACTTCAGATAGGATTTAGTTCACCTATCAGGCTGGAAAAGCTAATACAATGCCTGTAGACATGAACACTTCCTGGTTTAGACTGCAACCCACCGATAAGAGTCAAACAAACACCCAGAGTTCTTCAGAACGGTAACAAATGCGATTAAATTACAGAGAAGTTCATTTTATTTTATAACTGAATTTTAAGTGAATTCAGTTATGCAACTCACTCGTGTTTAAAACACATCGACGTAGCGAGCTGGAGAAAATGTAACAGGCGGACAGCAGCAGACTGTGAAGAGAAACGCCCAAAAACTTTTCATGAGTAAAAACTGAAAGTACAGCGCCCAGACCAACGAAATCGTCACGATACTGACGTTTAGACGAGAGAACACATTAGTTCTGTTATGAACCAAAACTCACCTTCCAATCGATCACAAATGGCTTTGAATAAAATAAAGCAAAAGTTCACGCTGATCTGTCTCGCTCAGCGTCTGATCATGCGCTGGTTCTTCTCTAAGCGCGTGGCACACCCTTCAACTACACTCTAAAGGAATTTCAAGTATTGTCCTTTATCCATTACAAAATTTACCATTGTAACATAGTTTCCAACAAAATATGATGTATGGTTTACGTGTCTGGTGTAAAAGAAATATTTAAGTATAAAAAGTACAAAATGTACCATGGTTTACACTAAATTACCATAGTACATCTTTTGTTACTATTGTAAGAAATTGACTGAAGTATAGTCATTTACCAGTTAGAATGTACCACAGTGACCATAGTTTTCACAACAATACCATATTGTAGTTCAATAATTCAAGTGTTGTCCTTTTATTATATATAATATGTTTACCATAGTAAGTTTTGTAAGGGGAAATCATTTAAAATTCTTTTATGTCTCTTATACATTACTTTTAAAATATGAACCTTATATTAACCTTGCAAATGAAAACAAAGCTGTGACAGATTGACATACAGTAAGTTTATTTAAAAAAAGTACAATGTCTGTAAGGTATAATAAGGTCTATATTTTAAACCCATTTGGATAGCTTTCTAAATTTCTAGATCGTAGTTGTTTTATTTCTGATTAGATACCATCATAAACAAGAAACGGACATGATTCCTGGATTACAGAGTGTATATATAGCTAGTTAACTGAATGCTCATCATAACATTTTTCCAGTAATGACTTTTACTACAATCTAAAGTTTAAATGGAATGCTGTAAACACTACGACTAACAATGAAACCCCAATGAGTCTGTTGATCGTTGAAGTTTTTTCCACTCAACCGCTCTTTCAAATGTATTTGAAACTACAAAACAACAGCTTCTATCTGAAATGTCCACATTTATGTTTGGTCACACACGCATATATTTATCTTTATGGTCCTTTTATGCACTGACATGCGAAAATAAAGTGAACCAGCATTAATATACTTTTTCATTGTAGGTCCGCAGTAACAATTCAGTCATCGTTTGCTTTATAATGCTCGACTATTTAATACAATCAGAATTTCTAAACCAGAAGTATATACGTAGAAGACTGATCCCCAATTCAATTTTTCACATGTCTATTCAGAATGAATGCACAGGTATGCCCTTTTGTGCCTCCCAAAGTAGAAACATTCTGGCTGGAAGTTGTTTTTCTCTTCTACTTTCTTATAGCAGCTAATGGCATGGACCACAGTGTTGGGAAGCAACTTCCACAGTGTCTGAGCCACAGACTGCATGTTCCCCTTCAACTTTTGCATCTCTATCTGATCTACAATCTGGCTCTTGTTAATCGGTTTTGGGTCTGCACTGAAAGACACCACGATTCTGATGTTGTTTGGGGTCAGAAGATCAAAAAAGTTGCCACCTCCACCACTTCCATGGTACTTTTTGCCAGCGAGCCAATTCCAGAAGAATATGCCGCTGTGGTTGAAGACCCGAACTGACCAGAAAACCCAGTAATATTTCTTCGCAAGGATATCCAGTATAAATCCTGTGAATTCTGGGTCAACATTGGCTTGTCGCTCCAGAAGTTGACGCTCCACATCCGTTTTGGCCTGCAGAGGGAAATTCTCAATGCAGTCATCCACCGTCGCTTTCATGCGTGTCTCTACGTCTTCCATGCGATCCTGCCATTTCTTCACCATGCCCTCGCCTACTGCTCCCTCTTTCAGGGCGGCGTGACCCATGACTGCTATAATTCCCATGACAAATATCTTCTTCAGTCTGGCACAGAACTCCTCCACTGGCTTCCTGCTCCTTTGCTCTGTGGTCACCACCGTGTCCAACATGGCATCTCCAGAGATATTCTCTCCAGTTACAGCATTGTACAAAGAATCAATGTTCAGATCACCACCAGTGTTCTCATACTGGGTTATAAACTTCTCCTTCTTTTTCTCCTTGAACTTGGGCTTAGCATTGACAAAGTCTTGAAACTTCTCATACTGACTGATTATCTTCGCCTCGTGGTCAAAGTTCTGCTTATTCATGGTCGTCCGCTGCATCTCCAAAGCAATTTGGTCGATTTCATCTTGAATACCTTCAAGTTTCTGGTTGATCTTTTCAAACTGCTCAGCAAGAAACTTGGCCTCTTTGCCTTCTGGGTTTCCGAGGAGCTCGGCCGAGGCCAAAAACACGGCCTCCAGGATGGGGTGGAACTGTCCCACGGTGGCTGCTAAAACCTCGCAGCTTTGCCCCATGATTTCCACTCCTTTCTCGATCTTGTCCTTGTTCTCCAAAACCCATTCTTCCACCCGATTCATTGTGGTTCAAAGCAGAGAGACCGTCTTATCCTTCTTACCCTTGTCTGTAACATATCAAGGCATATATATCATAAAGTGGAAGCCACAACATAAAAATCTATACTAAAATCAATGCAGACATTTCTAAGGGTCATATTTGTTTGCTCAGGATGGGACCTTAACAGTAACCTAAGATGGATTGGACAGCCAGACCACAGGGGCAGAAATACCAGAGTGTTTGTACATTTATACATGTTTCCCATGGGCCCGAGCCATTTAAAAAAAAAAGAAAAAAGAAACATTTCTGGTCTTGTTCGGGCATGTCCTGTTCCACCTTACACCCCACCAGCTAAGTCTAAGCAAATTATACAACAATAAAGGCAGATCAGTGAGATCAGGTGTCTACTATAAGAATTAGAGCCAAACATGCTAAAAGGTTTTTTTGTGCTTCAGGCACACTTTATTATTAGTATTATGAGCACACAGTCGTCGTGAATTGGAGAGCTGTTCGCTCCCCTTCTTTGGGGAATAATTCAGCATTTAAACCCCAGATTTATAGCAAAGCAGAGGAGAATTTGACGGCTTTAGCTGTTAAGCATTTCAGGACATTTCTGGGCACTTCGATTACACAAGGGAGATGATCTCACACTCGTATCTAATTTCCTAGGACTCAGTATACAGAAAAAAAGGCACACCCAGATCTGAGAAAATCTGTAACCAGTACACTTGTCCTGCGGTGAAACCATATTCTACACCATATGATTTTTACATACAAAATAAACACAAATAAAAATACAAGACTAAACCTGACATTTGATAAACGTATTTCAAAGATCAAAGACTTAATTTGCCTCTGTTGCAATAATGTCTCACATAATGATTTAGTGGATTATGTGAACAATTATGGGAATTCAGTAGCTATTATTATTATGAATGATAAGCATGTAGAACTTGTATATGGAATTTATGACTCAACCATGCATCTTTTAAAGGAGCATTCTGATCTCAATGGAATTAGGAGCAAAACAATACTTACTGAACAATACAATGATCCTGATTGTTTCAAGTCCTCCTTTGTAAGAATAATTAAGATGGCTTTGAAATTAAAACTCCAGGATGTGTCCGATTTGAGAAAGAAAATGACTTCATAAGAAAATAAGTTTCAAAGAAATTCAGTCTAATAATTTGTATCAAAAAACAGTTTTTGATGGTTCTACTCTGTGGAAAAAAGGAAAGGAACCAACCAACTGATTCTAAAAAAGAGGAACTGTTCAAGTTCAAAGCCACATCCCTTATTTCTATCCAAATGCTGCTTAGAGCTTTGTGGCAGTCAGTATATTGACTTAAGCACAACATCCAGTATTATATGGACATAATATGGCAGGATGTTGTGCTTAAGTCAATATTGACTGGCATCAAAATCACAATGATTCCCACAAAGTGTCTTCTCCAACTGTTCATGACAAAAAGCATAGATCATAAGCCAGCTATTTTTATTTTTGTATTTTGTGACTTTTTATTGAATGCTCTATAAGTTTTTTTAAGTTGTGCCAATAAAATAACAAAAGATGAAAAAAGAGAAAGGAAAGGATGATAAATGGAAATGGACAAAGGCAAAATAAAAATAAAAAATAAAGACTCACCGTTAGTCTGGTGAAATGTTCAGAGGTGTTCTCCAGTGTTCCAACAGAGTCCAACTAAAAGCACCAGCCTCCCAGGGTCCACATATATATATAGACTCTCTCCTGCGGCACTCCCCCTTCAGATTAACTCCATCCCCTGCCAGCATTCCTCTGAGCCCACTACAAGAGACGAGAGACAGGCACACAGACAGATAACATCCTGTAAACATGCCTTCTATGAGAAAAATCAGCATGTAGTGGTATAGTCCCAGAAATGCTTAGAAGCGTCTTTCCATTTTAAACATCCTGCATGCTCTGCCCTTCTACACGGGTTGTCATGGGTACAGACACTCACAGTGGCTTCTATGCGAGACGATATGGTAAACTGAATATATTATAATTGTTTTAAATTGTAAGCAATTTTCACAATATTACTATTTTTTACTGTATTTTTGATCAAATAAATATAGCCTTTGGCGAGCATAAAAGATTACAAAAAACATTAAAATATATATAATTTTATATATAATATAAACCCTCTTATTCTGAATTAAATGACAAAGAGAAAAATATAGGCCTATTTTTTTTCCCCTCAAAACAAGAATTATTCCCATTACACATTTGTCCACTGCAATTTGAATGTTGAAAGTGTGCTTCCATAAATAAAAATCATAACGATGTATAAAAATAACGTGATGTACCAGAATTGTGTGTATGTCAAATATAAGTAATTTGCGTATAATATCACACTCTGAATAGCCCAAACTGTAGTGGACACCATGCATCAGAGGGATACATTTTTTTTTTGCAAATAAATAAGCTGCAGTCTTCAAATTGTTCTTCTTTTAGGAGACTTCGGCGAGCAAGATGCCAATCTAAAATTTGTGTGAAAACAGCCCTTGGGGCCCCGATGCTTCTAGGTCACTTCCGTGTTCCGTCACACTGCTTTACATGCCAAAGAAAGACTCTACTGTTTACGGCATGGCAGGCGAACAAACCCAGAGCCTTTGTGCCGAAGCGGTCGCTGGGACACACT